TACTTTGGACATGTTGTAAGGAGAGACAGGTCCTTGGAGAGGGACATCATGCTTGGTAGGGTGGAGGGACAGCGCAGGAGGGGAAGACCCTCTGTGAGGTGGATTGATTCAGTGACTGGGGTAATCAGGATGGGTGTGTCAGAGGCAATGCGATTGGCACAGGATAGAGTAGGGTTTAGGGCTGTTGTACATAGAGTCACTATGAGTCGCATACGACTCAATGGCACATAACGACCACCACCACAAATCAAAGGTATTCATTCTTCTTCTTTCATTCTTATTGTTAAGCTCTCAGATGCATAGCAGGTGATTGAAAAGGTCATGGCCTGAATTAGGCACATCTTAATCTTCAAGCTGACATCATTACTCTTTAAATATTTTCAAGAGGTCCCTGACAGCTGACTTAGGCAACACAGTATGTTCCCTGATCTCCTGACTCCTGGTGGTAGCATGAGTGTTGATTGTATTGTTGTTGTGTTATGTGCTGTTGAGTCTACTGTCAGGTACAAGCAAGTTCTTGCTGTCCTTACTTCTAAGATGCACTTCAGTGGCATTTCCTCCCAAGATAGATTTGGTCATTCTTTTTGCAGTCCATGGCAATACTTTTAGCAATACTCTTTACTCAAACTACAATTCTACCTAGGCCTCCTTACTCATTGTCCAACTCTTCTATGCATATTAAACAATTGAAAATAACATGACTTCGAGCAGGTGCACCTGAGTTTTTAAATTAAAATCTTTGTCCTTTAAAAAGGTCCTTGATAGCAGTTTTTTCAGTGTAACATGTTTTGATTCCTTGACAGCTCTTGTCATAGTGTTGGTTTTGGATCCAAGTAAAAGAAAACTCTTGGTAATTTCATAGGGTTTCCTATTATAATGGTGTTTATTAAACCACTTTATAAAGTTTTCTACTCCTGATGCTGAAGTATAATTCTATCCTGAAGGCAATATGTAGTCAGTGAGCTTCATCAACAAAAAACTGCAGTCTTTTTTCATTTTCTCCAGGCAAGTTGGTGTCATCAGCATAGTGCAGGCTGTTGATGAGGCTTCTTTCAATCCTGATGCCACATTCTTTGCTTTATAGTCAAGCTTCTTTCACTATTTGTTCAGTATAATGATTGAATTGTGCTGTGTTGTTAACCAAAAGACCCGCAGTTTGAATTGACCAAGCTCTCTGCAGGAGTGAATTCTGAGAGAAAAATGTTTACATCAGAACATTTTTCAATAGTGTAATATAGTCCAAGCACAGTATAGTGAGCCTAATAAGCTAAGAAGAAAAAAAAATTTTTTTTAAACCCCAATCATAAACCAGAGTTAAAGCTACATATGAGTTCGTGGGAGCAACCATTGCTTGGGGCAAACAACATACAAGTCTTTGATGGTTCCCGGTGTGTCCATAATTAAGTGTTGATTGTAGATGCACAGGTTAAAGTTACTGAGTTTAAAAGAACAGATGTTGTGGGCTTGAGATCAGAGTGGAAAAACTAGAGCTTGAGCAGTACTGGAGAACATTAGCATTCTAGACCTAATTAACATTCCAGGAACCTGCTAGGACACCGGGAAGGCCACATGGTAGGAAGACAGACCACAGATCAGAGCAGAGTGTAGGATCTAGCCTGTGGACGCAGTCATGTCCCCTCATTTATGTGCTGTTGGTGGCAGCTTTTCTGTGGCCAAGTTGAGCGATTGACAGAGACTGCCTGATTCACAAAGGCTAAAATACTTACTATTTGACCTTTTACTAGAAAAAGTTCATCTTTGCTGTGGTTATATCAGCTGCTTTGGCTCTGTGGACTAGTATTTGTGTATGAAGATGAAAAATAAAGTTACTACCAAGATAAAGGTTTCTTGTGTGTTGAAACAACAGTAATGGGGTGGAGGATCTGGTGAAAGGTAAAAAAGAAGAACAGAGGCAACAGTTATTTTGGTTGATAAGGTACATTGTGGAATTGGACACTGATTCCCAGACTTCCATATGCAGTACGTCAGTGTTAGTCTGTCTGGAATCAGATTGGCCTAGTGTTGGCAAACTTTGTCTGTGAGGCCAGATGCAGTTTGGTTAAAAGGAAGATTTTAGCAATGTCTATTAAATTCTATCCTCTGCCTTCTTGTATACATTTTTCAGCAGCTCTAGGCTCCCCAAGCATGTGATTGTTAAAAAGGAAAAGTATATTTTCCATAGTTTTAAGTAGAAGTGAATTAAAGGCAGTGGTCTCCAAAATGTTCTTCAGAGTGGTGACAACCGGAGCTGGGACATGGAGCTATACTGTGACGTGGGGCTTCCCAGCGTACTAGGAAAGCATATCCACCTTTTTACGTCTTAAGCATTGGTTTTATTTGTTATCATATTCTTTCTGGTTGTGTGTTGTCTAGCCTACATCCTAGATACTCAAACAAGTAATGCAAATGTTGAAAGTAAAATTTTGATTCAAATGGGTTAAAGGATATTTGTATGTTGTAAAATCATAGCCATTAATTTGTCACTGTTAAGCATCTTAATTATCTCTATTGTGTTTTTAGGCAGAAGAAGTCCTTAGGCAAGAGTTGAAGAAAAAAGAAACACCCAACTTATACTGCTTGCTTGGAGATGTCCTTCGAGACCACTCTTACTATGACAAGGCCTGGGAGTTGTCCAGGCACCGCAGCGCTCGGGCTCAGCGCTCCAAAGGTCTCCTTCATCTTCGAAACAGAGAGTTTAAAGACTGTGTGGAATGCTTTGAACGCTCGCTGGCCATCAATCCCATGCAGGTTAGAGAATATATAACATTTCACCTACTCTCCGCACTTTTCTTGGTGTATGGTTAGTACTGAGTAAGTACCTTTTCGTTTTCCCACCCCTCCCACCGTCCATGCTGGCAACTGGTGAGCTTTTCTTTGAATATTTCATCACGTTTGGAGGAAAAGTGTGTGTTTGTTAGACAAATTCAGTGACACAATGAACTCATAGGTAGCGGGTTTTGTATACTGTTGAGTTGGAACCGGCCCATAGCTGACCCTCAGGTGGGTTTTCAGAGGCAGTTAATGGCATGGGAGGAGATTGTCCACCCACAGGGAGCAGCAGCTAGATTCACACTGTGGGCCTTTGGGATTGCAAAGCACCTTCTTGCCACTCAACAGGAGAGGACCTTAATTTGAAGGAAAAGAAAGTAACTTTATATTGTATTCAGTGTAAAATGAATGATCAGGAATGAATACTCTGGAGTGGATGGCTTTGGGGCATTTTTTGTATTGAAAAGAAGAAGTCCTTCACCACCACCCCCTTTAATGATAGGCTGAGCTAATTGTTTCCTTCCCTTATTCTGGAAAATGAATACAGTTAGAACATTCCAAATCAGTTGATTAGTAAAGAACCTGGAGTAGAGAATAGATAAACAATATCAGTGGAAATTTGAGTTGAATTTGGCAGCAAAGATGCTTAATTTATACTGAGAAACTAATTTTTGTTGACTGTTAGTGCTTCTTTAGTGGGGATGACATTTAATAATGTTTGGAGACATTATTGGTTGACACAACTTGGTTGTGAGGGGTCTGTGTCCTACTGACATCTAGTGGTAAAGGCTAGATATGTTGATAAAACATCTTAAAGTCCTCACATCTTACAGCTCCCCACAACAAAGAAATTTCAGGCAAAAATGTACAAATGTCAGTTGTGTCAAGGACGAGAAACTTTGCTCTCACTAGATTATGATTTCCCCCCCCTATTTTTGGTATGAGACACAACTTCTGTTGTTAAATACATAACTTGTGAATTAAAGTTTTACTTTTATAAAAATTGTACAAAAATGATATCCTACAATTCCATTTTTACTAATTGTAAGAGCATTATAGTGGGTACTAGGGAGGTCAGGGTCTGATTTTCACTAATTTTGACAAGGTGGAAGAATCCCTATCAAGATCATCAACAGTATAAAGCTGTCCCGTGTACCACACCTTCTTACAGCAATTCTAACACCAGAAACTTCTTCTCACAGCTTTTACTACTCAGTAATTTTTTGCAGTGGTCATACAGAACTCAGTGACAGTAATGAAGATTATAGGGCCTATTAAGGGGGTAACAGGTTACAATTCAGTTTGGAAGTATCCAAGATACAACTCCTTAAAAATCAATAGAGCTGCTTCTCAGTTATCCTCACAGCCATATTTCAGACACTCGGTCTCTTGCCTTTGGGCTCTTCTTTAAGATCAGGGAAGTGTTACAGAGCTCTTTTAGTCTGCTACCCCCATTCTACCAGTAAGCATAGCCCAAGGTGCTTGGCACCGGCTTTTGGAGCAGCGGATCTAGCTCAGCTTTGTCTTATGTTAGTAGCCTCTCTGCCTGAAGTTTACCTCACCGTTGTTGCCATAATGACTGAGGGAAATCAGTTAGTATTCTGTAATCTAAGTTAAATCTTTGTCCAACAATCAAGAATTATTTTCTCAAACACAAAATCTGGTTTTAACACATTCACATCAATGTTTTCTTCCTGCCTGACTTGTTGCTCTTAGTCTCTCTCTCTCTCGTTTTGTGTTGTTGTTTTTTTTATTGTGTGTGTGCCGTCAAATCGGATTTGACTGATACTGGAGGAGATTGCCCTTCCTTTCTCCAGCAGAGCATCTGGTGAATTTGAACCGCATACCACTGGGATTGCAGTGCAGCTTCTTGTCACTAGACCACCAGAGCTCCCCTTGTTCTTAGTCTCTTAAGCTGTTTTTCCTCCTCATATTTTCTACTTTTCAGTTTTGGACTAAGCCCTTTTATCTTCCCTCTCTCTATACTCAGTCCCTTTATATGTCCTCTGACAAATTTTAAAAACTATTTTCTATAAGGTCATCTCTTTACCAATAAATGACAACATCATCCAATCTTGGAGTCATCCTTTTTCCTTATTTTTTTTCCCACTCCCACGTTTAATCCATAAACAAATTTTGTCTTCAAAAATATGTCCAGAATAATATATCTGGACATATTATACCTATAACAGTTTCCTGGTTTAAATCTCCATCACTTCTTACCCAGTTGCCTAAGTGCCTCTTTCCTGATCTTCTTGTCTCTGTGTCTGTCTTAGCTGTATTCTCAGTGAGTTTCCAGTCTCACTCTTCCAGATGGAGTCAGATGTATCCTCTGCTCTCACTCCTTCTTTGGCTCCCATGGCACTGTTGATAAAAGTCAGAGCGAGTAAATGGTATAGTAGGCTTTCTACAGACTAACTCCTGTTGCTTAATCTGTCCTCACTCCTTCCACTATCCCTTCCCTACACTACTATCCTCCTTGCCCTTCCTTGAATTTATTCTGTACATTTTTGCCTCATAACCGTAACATTTCTGCTTCTGCTAGTAGAGCTGATTGCCTACACCTCCACATATTCTGTGACCTCTTCCAGAACCATGCTCAAATGTCACAGTCTCAAGGAGGCTAAGTTTCATCATTACTGTAGTTAAAATTGGAACTTCCACTCCCACATTATACTTATTCAAGTTCTGTACTAATCATTTGATTTTGACATTCCTAATACTAATTTTTCCCCATAGTCCTTAGAATCTTCTGATATTGTATATCCTTTTTTTAAGAAAAAAATATGTTTTTTTCTTCTCTAATATGTAAGCCCCATGGAAAATGGACTTGTTATCATCTGTATTGTTTCTGATATTCTTCCATTGCTTAATGTCGTAGCCCATAAGGTGTTGCACAGGTAACCAAAAGGCTGAATATCTCAGGAGGTTTGATGACTCTGGCAGTTTCTGGGTAAAAGATGGGACAGTGTAGTGGCCTCTTGCTATGTTTTCTGTTGCTTGAAGTGCTTTCCTAGACCGTTCCTAACGAGCTGCCACAACTCTGCCTGCAAGCACCTTAACCTGTTCCAGCTGCGCGGTGGGCAGGCGGCCAACTACGTCATCAACACTTGGGAGCCATTTCTTCCTCATTAGGGTGTGTTAGACTGTCTGCAAGGGGATTGGCTAATCTCACAATTAAATTGAGGAGATTCGGCAGCAGAAATTGAGAACCTTGATGCCAGAAAAGAAGCAGCAGCAAGAAAGTGGTCTGTATTCTTTGGGAACAAAGGTTCCTACACCAGAGGTATCCTTCTGTTGATTGAGAAGCTGTCTGGATTAGTTGCAAGCCTGTATCTTGCTGTTACCTAAATGAGATGGATCCAGGGCCATAGTTCCTGAGACAGAGACAGGGCTGAAAAGTTCTGAAACGGGGACAGGGCTGTAGGCCCTACGATGGAGGCAGAGTTAAAGATTTTGTTAGCTGAATGATTGAAGGAAGAGCTGACTTGGGACTGGTGACTCACAGAATTATCAGCAGAGGTCTTTAACCCAAACTAGCCAAAGGACTGAGGGAGCGCGCCATAACTAGTAGGACTAGGGAAGCAGTAACGCTGACCTAATTGGTAAGGTTGGTTGAAAGTCAAAGGGCTTATGGCCTTGCTTGGAAGCTGTCAGAACTCGGAAAACTTCATAAGCAGTTCCTTATTTCACCTCTACCTTGCATGTGAACTTCCGAGTTGTAAAACAACCCAGTGGTAGATGGAAT